ATAAGCAGGATTCCACGATGCCCGGATGTGTCTTGTTCTCTTTGCTCCGCAGGAACGTCGAAAAGATCCTTCCCTCGGAAGCTCTCGAAATGCTTATTTTACGGCGGCGGCGTCATAAAGGCGCGATCTTCCAATGAGCGTAAAACTCTCGACTTCGATTCACCGTTACCCCACGGACTCTCTCCGATAAATACAGATAGGGTGGAAAGAGGCTTGTCCCCCTCCTTGCGTCATGTATCCGCTTTTTCTGTCCTAGTGGACAATGGGGATTTGAATCTTGCAAAGGGAGTTCTCAAACGCGATTCGATGCATTCTGAACGTGATTAGGGTCGGATCGTACAGGGTGAAGAGTGTGAACAGTTTGCAGTATATTAACCCTTTGCTCTCGAGACGCGACTCTCAGTCGTCATTTAATTCGACGCAGTAAAATTATAAAGTGAAAAATTCAATATAAAATGTTGAATATGATATTAACACATAAAACATAGAAATAAAACAATTCTACCTCATAATTTATGCAAGATGTTTCTTTATGTAAGTTGGAAATAATATTATTAATATTTCGTCAGAAAATAATGAATGTTTGTAATGAAAAATATTATAAATTATCGAGCGCAATGGATTAACCCCTTGGAGTACGATTTATTTCTTAACCAATATCGGTACTTTATTATTAATAATTTATTGGAAGAGACTGATGAAATGACAGACATGTGACTCATGTGAGTAATGTATTGTACTTAGTATGTAATACAGTTAATATACGTGATCCTTATAAAAATTGTAACAATAAACTCTTCTGTTGATTTCTTCAGATCTTCAGTATAATATTCAAGTGAAACTTTATTTTTAAAGTCATTTTGAATATTTAACACTTTTAAGCTCTAGTATTAACTTCAGTCCATTAGGGGAAAGTAGGATAAAATGGAACGCTTTTTTCTTATTGTAATAACCAAGTATCTGGAGCAATAAATGCATGAAACCTTTTTTAGAAGCCCTAAGTACACCTTTGGCTATAAGGAAATGAAAACTTTTTTAATAAAAATGTTTACTTCCGAAGGAAATTACGATTCTCTAAGCATTCATGTAGAATCAAATACAAATACAACATAAATAGACTATAAATATACAGGGTGAGTCAACTAACGTTTCCATCTCAAATATCTTTGTTGTTTTTAAAGATACGTGAAATGTCTTAAGGACAAAGTTGAATGGTTCAGTGGGGCTCACATGATACCAAAAATATTTCTGTTTTTATGTCATTTTTTTTAGTGATTTTAAGGTCTCCTTGATTTTTTTAAATGGAATGAACTACTTTTTTTAACATAGATCGATAGAGTATTAAATTCTGAGTATAAAAGTGTTGACCTTCATTCGTCCTCATATGTCCTTTACTGAACATCTTTCCAATGCTTTCAATTGAAAATTAACGCATGCACTGCTCTGCGGTCGATCTCAAACTACATCGAGCACTTACTAGAACCATGTCATGCGACATCAACTCGATACGAGCTTTTTATCTATGGAAAACATTACTCCATTTTACCTTACTTTCGTCTATGCTATTCTATGCATTAAAAGAATAAATCTATGTAACATTCTTCAGCAAACCGCCTCGACATTATACTTCGTTACTCAGCTAGCCCCTCCAAGACACATTTTCATATCGAAGTATCGTGACACGATATTATCTGATTCCTTGGACTATTTATTTATCGGGGACACGCGCTGTCTATGATGAAACGGTCGAGTCGAATTGCCCGGAGAATACTTTGGCGAACGGCCAATGCATAATCGTTTCTAATAAATACTCGTCGTGTCGGGGAACGGGAACGGCTGACAATAAGGACGAAAGGACCAGCGAGGAGCGAACGGGAGAAATGTGTCTGTCCGGTCGGTCGATGGAAACGTCCCGCATTCCTGGGACAGGATATTCTGCCAAGAAAATTCTTTTGGACTCGGACTCGCCTGTTGACCCCGATTCTACCGAAATTTCTTGTGATTAACTCCACATAAGGATCAATAGCAGACGATTATAGGTTCTCGATTCTGGCAGACAGGCTTGCGTAATGATAGCGCTGATACGATTCCGTGAACTTAAGCGGATGGAACATGAATGAATCTGATCAGACGAATTTAATATTTCATCCTATCATCCACCAATTCCTATCTGAGACGAACAATTGAATACGGAAGAATATGAAGGAAGATTAACAGAAATTTAATTATAATGATCTTTGAAGTCATGGGATTTTGTCGCAAAAAACATTAATATTTGCACGCAATGCTTAATTTCAAAGGTAAATTTGATTAGATATCCTCATACGTATAATATGTGCCAATTGAATACCTATTCCGTATAAAATCTTCTCAATAATTAATTATGATTCAATTGGCACATATTATACGTATGAGGATATCTCGAATTTACATAACAAGCCAATACTTATTGTATTTATTTTATATTATCGAATATATTCTTATATATAACAATAGGACACATAACATTTAAGAAAATCCATCAATAATTTCATCACTTTCGTTAGGTAATTATTGAAAAAGTGTTCTTGCAATTTTGGTTATGTCCATGATCATCAAAGCAAATAGAAACGGGGCATCATATCATATTCAATTTTGGACCTACTGCAACCGGAAATTCGCTGGGTAACTACTTACGGATTTAACGATAAGAAACGGAATGTATAACCCAACTAACTCCCGAATAACATGAATTAGAAGGAAATTACGCTAGAAATTTAGATAACAGGAAGTACGAATCTGAAGGTTTATGACCATCTCTTGACGAGGGTATGATTAAGTTAGGTTGCAACCAGTTGCTCGTACGGAAGGGGACTGAAATACATATATACATGAATAATTCATATTAAAACACTTAACACATGCATGGCAGAGGTGTTTCTATTTTCAGAGTTAATTGGCAGTATTATTTTTTTAAAATGGTAATATCAGATAATAACAGAAAAAGTCACACACAGGCAAACGTGTGAATTAAATCTATGGTAATTCGCTCGAATATTAAATAATGGATTTATATTTTATCGTTCCTTTTATATTCATGACAACTGAAGTGTCAAACACTTCAAGTAAAATATTTGTAGCAAAAATTGAAACTTTTTAATTTTTATGCCGTCATATACGAAGCTTCTACTGAATATTACATCGAATTTCGTACAAAAATTATTTTCACAGCTGTATCTGTCGAAGCTTGCTTTTCACAGTTTCACGTTTCAACTGAAAATATAATCAAAGGTGCATGATACATGCTGTGCCAATTACTCTGGTTTTAATTATTGAATTAATTATTTCAAGCTCAAAGAATTCAAATCTAGAACACGATAAACGAACGATAAATGTATAGGAATAATGACCGTGATTTGTCGGCTGTCAAATAGATCAATGAAATCAAAATTTAAATAGAACAAAGAATATATTATATTATTTTACAGACGGAGTGTATTTATATTACTGATCAAACGATCTGCGAAGCAAATAGAACAATGTTGTACAGAACGTTGAACAATAAAATCGGAAATAAGAGTCGATAAAAGAATTCGCGGAGAAATAATTTTGCAACTTCGTTGATTTAGAAGAATTGTCATTATGTTCAATATTTCATTGTTGTCATGTGGCTCCAGCATCGACGTGACTGCGGTGCCCGTACGTACATAAATTACAAATTATGCGGAAGAGATAAAGGTGACCGAGCACGGGCGCTACGTTCAGCCCGTATAGATGTAAACGGTGTACGTGCACGTCTATTATATATGTACCAAAGGGAGATGCGCAACGTATCAAAGGGAGTCACGTTTTGCTGTGATTTAACTCGTGTCTTCATTATTTACGTTCTTCGAACCACCATGGCAAACAGTCACGGTTTCACTAAACGAGCAAAAACTGGCCGCCTACCTTAGTTATGCAGCGTTTTATCGAGTCCGCATACAGTCAACGATATTAATTTCCGCTTTTGTACAACCCAAACTGAGTCTATCATTACAATTCTGATTAGAAAGCGTTTTTTGTCTGAGACTGAACAGGAGCATCCAGTTTCATTAGCCTTTGAACGCCAGCGCTTTTATCAGCTTTGTGCGTATTCCAACGTAGCATTTCAAAGGCGTAGGAGTAGTCCAATTTTTGCGGAAATATGTTATATGTTTTATGTTTTTACATAAAATACTGCTCATTTTACGCACAATGCGAAATATGCCATACTTACCATTCATCTATAACTACTATACGATGATTACATTAAATTGCAGTCTATATCTTACAAAATGTATCGATAATAATCAAAGTCACCTTTATAAATAAATTAAAGAAAACACATTGTTTTGCTATTCTGGAATCGATTTGTTTTCTTATAAGGATATGTGATATCGTATATTATTTTACACTTATCATATGTGTAAAATAGTCACTATCTTGCGTGATAATACCGATTTTAGTGCAATCCTGTTCACATCCTAAAAAAATCAATACTAGACTAACTTCGACTGTCGATTAGTGACTCTTTTCCAGATTTAATGAAACAAAAATTAAATAATAATTAAGTAAAGATTAAATCTCCGAGCGAAAAAATTGTTAGCCATAACTAAATCTTTAAACATTTAGATCAACATGACTGACCGAAGTCGTGCAATACCCAATGCTGAAGATATCCCACATAAAATAAAGACTTAAACCTTCAGCCTTAATAATTAATAAACATAGTAGACTACCATGAGACTTACCTTCGTTAAAGCGTTAAGTACCGATGAAATCCCTGAAGAGTTTTTTACAATAACCATTTTCTCACAGGTATGGGCGCATTAATAATTTCTTAGGATAAATCTAGTACTATTGAAATTAGGATAGAAGTGTATGGATGAAATATCTGCATTATTTTAAAAGTACTATATTTATTATTCGTCTGAAGTATCACTTTAACAGACGGTCATGCGTCGTTTATATACAAATGTGTACACTCTGTACATTCTGTCCTATACGATAAACGTTAACACGAACCTGTACAGAAGCGAGAATTGTCGTTAACTAAACGCTAAGTTCCTGACAGCTTTGCAACATATTTGCTTACACCGGTTTAAAGTTAACACGCACGCGGTTCACCGGTTCAATGTCTGTTCTGACAAACCTTCTTCATTTTCATTCTTTATTATTTTTTACTGATCGATCGTTTCTCATTTAATTGACTAATTGAATTATTCCTCCGTTCGCTTAGCCGCGTGCTCGAGCTCGAGCACCGAAATTAACGTCGATTTCATTTCCATAGCTGATATACCAATGAAAAAGATCAATCGATCGTGAACAAAACGCCGGATTCGCGGTCGCGTTTTTCGCTTTACCTTCGTTGAAGCCATACAGAACAGATTATCGTCATTATGCGAACCTTTCTGGGGATGGGGATCGGGAAATAAATTCGAAGCACCTGTTAAATAGTTCGCGAACGTAGCGAGCATACTCTTTTCGTTTATCGAGACGATTTTTGTACGTTTGGCAGGCCGACGACCGACCGATCAAGCGCACCGGCTGATCCGATCCCGATCGAACACGTTCGAGCGTAAGCGCGATTAATTATAAATGCATTGCTTCGACTTTTCTGTTCCGGGTGTGCGTGAATTCTGTTACGTATTCTCGACTATTTAATGGAAATACCGTGGAAAAATAGTTCGCCCAATATCGCAGTAACCGTATTCTTTTTTTTCATACTTTTATTCGTAAACATATTCACCGCGTAAACCGACACTATGTGTACAAAAGGGGTTATTATGTTATGTTAGACCTGAATATCATTATCCCGTCGACTGTGTCGACGTGTCCTTTAACGGTAGGAATCTACTTACTCGTTGCCCGAAACAATCGTTTTGCATTCGACGGATCTCCTTGAGGTCGTCTTAAACATTTTACACTTTCAAACGATCGTGTGCCAAACGTGCGACCACGCGGCATTGTTGGGACTGAACATAGTGACTTAGAGGACGCTCGAGTGCGATTGTCAACCGAGCGAGCTCACTTCCGGCTTCCGATATGTTATGTATCTCGTTCCCACGAGGTTCATTCTTTTCTAGTGAAAAACATCTGAAAAAGACGTTCACCGCCGTTTCTTTGTGCCTCGAATGTGTTTCTAAGGTGTGCTTCAGGACAAACCATTTGCTTCTCGACTTTGACGGTAGCGTAATCAACTAAAATTGCCCTGGAAGCGTCCCGGCAAGTATCGGTGCTTACATGATACCCACGATTGATATCCGTTTTTGTTTATTATTGCGGACGTAAAGGAATAGTTTAAGCAGTTCGCTAATATGTCTTCATTATGACATGAATCTATGCAAATGAAAATATGAATTTATACAGGGCGCTTCTTTCCCTTTTATTGCTTTTTTAGTTACGTTTTTATAGGTTATTCAGATGTGATGTTTATGGCAAATGGGAAAAATTAATGGGTAGGAATTATACTGACTAACATTATATTCCTTTTAATATTTGTTATTTTTAATTAACGATTGGCTTTTATCAAATTATATATATGATGAATACTAAATGTGCCACTAACTTTAAAAACCGTATAATTTCATTCTTGTTTGGAATATTTCTTTTCAAAATCAACTTGAAATGGTTGCGGATGAACTGTTTAAAAGAATTAAATTAACCGTATGCATAAACAGTACGTCGAAATAATCATTATAAATAATAATCATATACAATCATCTCAGGATTGAAAAGTTACGAACAATTAAATAACATTTCAACACACAAGCCATTTTGATCGCGAAACAATATTTTATTATTCTTATCATTATTATGATCAGGATGAAGAAACGCCCCGTACTAAATGGGTGCATATGAAGCATTGTTTGAACGTTTTAAACCTCAAATGGTGACCTCTCTAAACGAACTTCCCTATTAAAAATAACCTTTCGTGCGCATCGATCTAACAATAATACCAGCGATCTTGACCGGAAAAACCATATGGTTAACGGCAGCAAGAATTTCCGTAACAACATATTTTACAAACACAATATATTACGCGTATACAGACATGCCCGACCTAAGCGATAACAATACCCACGTTAACAATAACAGAGCAGACATCGCATATCCCATGTCTCGCTTACAAAAACTTTGGTCCGTGATATCTGATCGATCCGACGCGCAAAAGAAACACTTCGGTGCTGAAGTAAACACTAGAAGGGTATGGTGGCCCCGATCTCCAGATCCATCGACCTCTCGGTCATGTCGATCGATCTGACCACGCAACGAATGGTGCCGAGGGATGATCTCGAGCCGTCCAGCGAGCTTTGCGTTCCGACGGTTCTCCTCGAGGGCCGCGCGAATCTTCTGGCGGCTCTGTTGGGCCACGTACGATAGAATGGCTCCTGGTTGTTGCGTTTCAAGGCACTCCATATGACCGACGATCTTCTGGGCGGCAAATGCGAATGGGAAGGGCAGCTGCAGTGCTGCCAGGCCAGAGTCGGCGCTTTGCATCGGAAAATGGGAGCTCTGAAGGCCTCCGGTGGCCTAAGGATTAGAAGACTATTCAGCCTGGAATAGTCCGTTTCCAAGCGCAACGGAGTCAAAACCGTAACACCGTCCATTGGTTCTTTTTTATCGCGTCCGGTCGACTGTAGGATAGCGACATTACCGTGAAATGTTCTCGCATTTGTCCCAGTAGACCCTGGTCCGGATACGTCGTATAGTTTCGTCCCGCCGGTTTCGTCGATACCGCCCGAACGAGGCTCCGTCTCTTTTATATCGTTCAGTTCCTGTGACGGGAGGCTGTTTCGTTTCACCGTTCCTAAAGATACCTCGGAGCTCTGGCTGACGTTCCGTGCGAACTTGTCCAGAGACGCTCGATCGTCCTGGTCCGAGTAGTCAAATTGGTCAGGCCGATCGATCGCGCCAGTACACGTGGATCAGGAGGATGAATTCGCCTCAACCGTCGAGCTAGTTGACGCGTCATCGTCCAGCGAGCTCTGCGTAGCCACAGTCACTTTGTTTCCCTCAGTCCGACTAGACAGCTGACGATCGGTTGCTGTTTGACGGGGATGGCGTCGCTTGTAAGGCTCCCAATCCCCTGGATCCCGGCGTCAGTGCGTCGCGATCACGTCCGGAGCGCTCTTTGTGCTTTCTATACTGAACGGCCGCCTTTGATCGATCTCTATCACTGCCTCCGCTCGGTACCTCGGGTCGGGTGTCGTTTGCTGAGTAGACTTTGGCGTGCTGGAGTGCTGGGAGTTTGGCGTATTGCCGGATCCAGCCCCGGATCCGTAGAGAGAGCTGCCGTACCTCTCACCTGACCCAACTGTCGCTTGCCTGACCAGTTTAGGGGATTGACGATAGGCACTGTTTTCCCTGTTGGGCTGTGGACTTTGAAACCTCTGGTAAGACGGATAGTCCGGCGGTTCTTTAAAAGGAGAACCTTGATGTAGAGGCAGTGGATAGCTGGACTCGTGGGTTGACCAGCCGGGCGGAGCTGGGATCGGATTGTGCTTCGGGCAGATCCCCATGCTGCCGTCTCGACCCCTCGAAGCTGGACTGCATCCCGAACACTGGGAGGTTGAGTGCTCGGGACTGTGCTCGGAAGACTGTTGCTGGGAAAGCTGAGAGCTTTGTCGCGAGTTCGAAGGACTTTGATGGTGGTGCAAGTGGTGATGACGGTGATGATGAAGATGGTTGGTCCCGTTTTGTGAGCCTGGCCCCCGAACACCGAATGTCGTGAAGCCGAGGGGCATCTCGAAGAGGCTCTCCCGCGTTTGACAGGAACTGTCCCGCATTTCTGGCTCGTCGTTGGATTCCTGAAGGCGTTCCTGCGTCGCGTTGCTGACGTTGTTACTCTGGTGGATGTCGTTCATATCCCTGGTGTTGTATGCCATCTCTAATACGAGTTCCTTAGTGTAATCCTGAGCTATAAGGGTGGTGGGCGGTAAAAGCTCCTTGCTGGGGACCACTTCCAAGCTCGGTGATTCGCTGCCTCGGTCCCCGATATCTGTTCTGGAAGACGAGATTGGACAGGGTGTTGCCTTACGGCCGAGTTCGTCTAATCGATTCTCCCTGGACTGCCTGATGTGCTCCTGAGAAAGATAAATGAATTCTTTCAATTGATCGGGCGGGGATTGAGATTCTACTACTGTGATGCGGCTCCTCCTATGGCCGCAGCTCTTCCTTAGAATTTTTCTAACTGTCAGGGAAATTGTTGGGAGTGTGTGTGGCTTGATGCGTGAATTAATTAGACATCGGTGGGTAGTATGGAAACACTATATAGTAATAAACTACAACATAATGTATTTTATTTCAAAATTCAATTTGCGTTTAGATAAAAAGAAAGTTACTGGTTGATTAGTGAATTGAAAAGTGGTAAATACCTTTTGTTGGAGGGGATAAATAATACAGTATCATAATATGAAACGAAACTAACATGCTTCAGTGCAAGCAAAATAGAATTTATTAAAATATATATATTTATACATTTATAATACATCAGAACTGAATATATACATGTAATACAATTTTAAAGTAATGTTTTTAAAATTTCATTTTTTCATCTTCGTCAACCTTTGTCTGAGACTTTTATTTCAATATTTCAGTGATTGTAAAACAATTTATAAAACTCTATATTTATGTAAATATTTAATATACTTTATTATACACTTATATTAAGAAACATGCCAAATTCAATAGTTGTTTTTATGATTACATGTTTTACATTTGTATTCGTCATTAGTCAGAGAACTAAACGGAACGGACTGTGCTGTTAATCGAAATGAAAGTAACATGCAGAACGAAATGAAAAATATCTGTCTGAAATTAATTGTTATTTGCCTGTTAATCTATTAGTTCTTCTATGCTAGTCGTTCGTGTCTCAACCGACTTCAATTTTCCACGTTTTGTCCCACGTGAATGGGCGAAACGAACCGTGAGCCCATTTCGTATTGTGTGTTATCAGTTTTTCTCTGTATTGCGTGAATGTTAGGCACGTACAACTGTACGTGACATGTCCGACCCGTGAATTGAATCGAAATCTCATACGTTCGCCGCGTAATTGAAATTCCACTGACGCGTTGCCGAGCAAGCCATGCGTAGCGTGAAAAAAGCACTGAATTCCTGTGATTCTTCGATATGTAGATTTATTACTATTTTGTAATATCACGTCGATTCTTTCGGGGCTATTTTATTAATTTCGCACCTCTCCGTCTGAACAAGAAACATTTTTTGTCTTTGAAGGACACAGCTATAAACGAATTCTCTGTTTTATTTAACTTTTATCGAATATCGAAATCTTTTATATTTTATTGAATAAGAAACGAGAAGAATAACTGCTTCTATTCGTTACACAGTCGCGGAAGCTGTAAATCTCAAAAGTAACATATACCGTGAAACCGACATCGTGACGTTTTAAGATTAACGATCATTTTGTAACGCGTTCCGTAAATTCTAATGGCCCGTAAAACGACGCGGAACATGCAAATTTTCACACGGAGGAAGAGAAATACACAGCTAAATACTTCTATCAGGAACAGAGCTTTAATGGTCAGCCATAAATGCGTTAAATCAACGTCGCGTTATCGGAGGGGGCCCAGCGAAGTTTTCAAGTCACTAAAATATCGTTCGATCGTAAATACCCTGGATACCGGTCCGCCCTAAACGCCACCGTAACCGGTTAAGTCCTTGACGGAACTTTTAATCTCGTATCGTTTCAATTTTCTAGCAGATTGACACGGTTACGAGGTAAGGTGACTGTTAGGGGAGGATCCACTTACCCGAATGATTCGATGATCCCGGATTAGCTTCCTCACACAGTTGAAAACGAAGGCGAAACTCATACCGAAGAGTATCAGTGAGAAGACGATGAGGATTATGACGATGTGCTGGGAGTCAATCAGTCGCGACTTTTTCGTCTGAAAAATGGAACAAAGTAAACGGTTGTTTATTAATTAAAACGAAACGCTCTTCGTGATCGCTGACCGTACGCATGCGTGTCTCCAGGATTGTCTGCCTATCTAGAATACATAATTCCTTTAAGAAATCCCTAGAAACACTTGAAGCGCAATAGAATTGTTCGAACTTCTAGAGGATAAAATGGTTTAGGGAAGTTGAACGTTTAGATAATACTAGTTTACGTGGATTTAGTGATTCTGTTTGTTTGGAGCTTGAACAGTTAGGATCTAAAGTAGTGTTACTCAAAGGGTGTACCGCAGCACATTGGTGTATTGCAAAATTTTCCAAACGTGCCGCGAAATCTTAAAAAATATTAGCCTCGTTTTTATTTTAACATCATTCTTCGAATATACGTACAAATACCATTAATAACAATAAAGTACACGAAGAATCTTTTTATGACGAAAACTATTTCAATTTTCTAAGGTGTACTTATGTGAGTTAAAATTTTCAATTTTATATATATATGAATGATGAATTTATATATAAATGAAAAATTTCCAATATCTTCTGCACTTAAAAGCTCTTCTTTTGTTGCATGTTGTACGGGAATGTCTCTAGCTTCGAATTTTGCTTCTAACAACTTGCTTCTAAAAGCATTGTCCTGGGATTTCTCTAATCAAGCTGTGTTAGAGTGAAATCTTGTTATATTTAGAAGTGTCGTGTTACACGAGGATTATCTGTACATATATTTTCAATTATTTTTAATGGTATATTGGATCTTACACAGTTACCTATTTAAACTATTCTTTGTATATGTAATTTACTTTCATAAACAAATTTCGTTTTCTTAGGTATCAATGATATTTACGATACAATAGTTCTTTAAAAAAAAAAATGTGCCATCACTCTCCGACTTATTCTACATCTTGCAGATACCATTCGAAATAAGTAGAAGAAAAAATAGTTATCTTGAAACAGTTGAATTCTTACATATCCGATAATGAGTTTCTTTATCTCGCGATCGGCTATTTTCTAGTTCGCGTAGCGCCTGCGGTTCGTTCGTCGAAACGGAACGATGCGCAATTCATTCTGGAACAACGACGTGAAAGAAAATGCTACAGTTACGGCTCCCTTGATCATTAGCCCTAGTATGCGCAGGTTTCATGGCGCCCAGATACGAGCTAGCGTCGACAATGCATGCCAAGGTACACATTCATCGGGAACAGTTACCGTAACACGATATAGGAAGTAGCACATAACGCGGCAAGCCGAATCTCATTCTCTTCTCATCCTATGTGTACCTCGTTTCTCGCGTTTGCCGCCTATGGGAGCGTACCGTTAAACACACTGCTGAAATTTATAGACTCCGGTTATACACGGTCGCCACTCACGCACGCGTATAGATCACAATTCGCGGACGAGATTTCTACCACAAAGCAAACGCTAATGACGCATAGGCGAAACGGAATATCATTCGAGTCCATATTCCATTCAGCCGTTCAGCCTTCTCTCTCACGCGACGACGTTCAATATATTTTTTTGTCTCGGCGTCCTAACTATACGTTGGGAATGTGCGATATGCGGCGGACATATTTTGCCAAAGGCTTAATTCTGAAATCCTTCCCCGCTCGGCAGCGGAACTTTTATGAACAGGACTAAAAATAATTGGAATACTTGTGCGACGAGAAGGTAAGGCCGTTGAATTTCAGAATAACAGGAGCTGAAGCACGTCAGTTATTTTTCGAAATCGATTAAAGTTATTTGTCCTTAGCCAGACTTGGTGGAAGGGTTTAGTTCTGTGTCAAGATAAAAATGCTGAAAGGCAAACTTCCTTGAAGCTGGAAGAGGTGGATGAGTTATCGAATACCTTAACCGACTCAGATAATTAACCCCAGTGGTGCATCGAGATTCTTGTAATTCCCGATTACATGTGGAACGCATGAATTTAACTTCTTTCTTTGTAACATCGAATGAGGTTCGTGATATAGTTTTTTCTTTCAAGGAGAAGTTAAATATTATTTTCGTTTTGTGAACACTTAATCTTCATATAAACATGTACTTACAATGAACTACTTGGATTCGTTTCTTTATTGCGAAGTATTAAGGACAATGCAGCTTTAAGGATGATAGTCCAGGATAAATTGTAAGGCAAAGGGTTAATATTGGAACTACTGTTGAAATTACTCTTTCGGAATTTGTTTATTTACGATTATTGCAAAAAAAGAATGCTTTAGTGAGAAATCGTTTAAAAACTTCATTTACTCGTGCCCATGATGAAATACAGGTTAATAAAAATCTTTAGAAATGTATGTTTAAATAATAACAATTAATATATAACGTATTTAAAAGGGAAAAATGTAATACTTTAAAAAATTGAATCTTTCTTTTTTAGTTTTTAAAAACGTTGGGTATCTAACATATGTTCATTAAGTATTTTAGTTAAATTAAAGCAAATGTGGGAGTTTTAGATATGAACTGTTAACTAACGCGATTTAAGATACGGTATTTAATATGAAAACCGAAACCAGACGTTAGATATCTATATATTCATCACAAATATACATTAATAAATATGATCTTAGAGGCTCTAACATCTCAGCATAACAACGTCAATAGATGACTTTATAGATGAAGGTGTCTGTTTAGAAACAGTTTAGAAAGAAAATTTCAAAATAATGGAATTTAAAATATATTTGGAAGAATTTATAAATAAGTATTTAATTGTATTGACTGATTTTTTAAAGAACATAATTCAAAGAACCAACATTTTAAATTTCTAAATACTTATTTAAATCCAAGAAGATAGTTGGTCTTTGAAAATTTTAATTAGGACAGACCCAGGCACTAGTAATTGATACTTAAAAGTGGAATTTATCAATTTTTACTAGTCGGCTTTTCTTTCTTCTTTTTCCCAGACATACAAACTGAATACTTGAAGTACATTAAGAGTGGCTGCACTGATCAAATTTACACTAACTGCCTGCAGCTGGAATGGGTAACTTCGACTGAGGGGCTCAAACAGTTCATATAGCTAAAAAATGTCCAAGGAAAAAGTTTGCGGTCGAAAGAATCAAGCGAGATTTTAAGTACTCCGTCGAGTGAACTGATTAAATGCCGATAGAAAAATTTATTTAACTCATTCATTTTTGGTAACAGTTTTATCTTACTGGCTTTCTCCAGTGAACGAAAATGGGAAATCATTTGCTCACCTAATGAGCGACTTTTCCACTTTAACGGTATTACATGTTTAGAGACAGATTTGATGTTTAATTTTATTCTAATTATTACGCATTTTTATTATTTCTGTTATATTTGTTTATAATATTACAATCAACACGTTTTAAATGTTATAAATCAATGTTAAAATATAGTTGAGTTAACTGATATTAATACAAATCTGAAAATTAATGGCCGAGAATACATTGGACTTGTACAAATGATGAAACTACAATTAACATTAAAACTATTACATCAGTCAAAATAACAGTTTTTATAATTTTATTTTAAAATTCCTACTTCACGTTACACTTTTCTGTAATGATGTAATGACTATTGCAGCGATAAGTAAAGAAATAGTGTAATGAATTTTATTTCTTTTTATTTATTCAAACTCAAAATAATGTTCTATCATGACTACTTATACCAATACTATTCAAAACAACTGATACTTCTCAAAGTGTAAAAGGACTCTACAATTAGTTTACCAAATCAAAATTAACTAGTTTGTTTTTGTTTTGTAGAACGAGGAATTCTTTTTGTAAGAAGGTAACGAATCAGTAAATGTAAAAATATTCTATTATTGCATATTTTTTAAAGATCAGTCTACTGGTTTTAGTAGAAATAGCTTCATCTTAACTGTCGGCAGTCTTAGTGTTAATGTCCATTCTCATAAAAGGATTAATAAGAATTGAAAAGTAAATAATAAAATGCACTCCATCAGGCTAAACTTCAGTTTCAATTACTTTGTAGTAGTAATCGTTACAGTTACTAGATATGATTGAGACTTTTGACTGACTGCACTATCTTGACTGTTGACTGATACCTCTTGACCACCGCAATTCTCGTTGATAAATTAGTATTGCGGAACTGGTTTGATGCATGTATGTTACAAATGATTCATGTTTGTCTAAATTTGTGTTGTCGAATGATTGATTGTGTTTTGTTTGTATGTGACAGGTGAACGTTTGTTGCGTTGCAAGTGTATGTAAGAGTAGTGAATGCAGTGGGTTTGAGAGACGACCCTCCGTTCAAAAGTTGGCTTACAAAAAATTCAGGACTGCAAACCCAAAAGCATTTGTGTAACGATTCGTCACTGATTTATGATACGTCAATTGCCATTGAGTCACAGGACGACCTCCGCACATTCATTTTTCCCATTCAGAGTTCGAAGCTCTATTGACAATAAATCGAAAAAAAGTTAAAAATAACAATTATTAGAAATGATTATAAGCATCAATCACAATAATAAATAATCACCAATAAAAAGTGATCATAATAAAATAGCACAAATACATATTGAATTCTTAACCTGAAAAATATCAGCTCAACCGCGTAAACTTATCTGCTATCGTATCTGTATCTAATTATACCAGCACAAAACGCTCAAGCTTGTAGAACGAACGAGCAATCATAATAATAAGAACAATGGTGGATAACGAACGCATTTCGCGATAAGTAGGTATAATTAACAATATAGACAGAGTTATCGCGTTACCGGCGGCTTTCCTGCAGGCGTTCCTGTGCTCCTCGCGAATGAGATTTCTGTGCATTAGATGCTTACATTTTCCGGAGGGTGCTCGAACCTCGCGGTAGATGCGTGCACGGCTTGAATAGGAAAGGATGGCCATGTACAGAGCTGCAAGCTCTGGTTGAGGGGTTGAAAATGCCTCTTTCTGCTTCCGTATGCTGGGGAAGGTTTATTGTTATGCTTATATGGCCGAGCACACTCTGACAGACGTTCACGTGTTTTCGCAAGTCCGCGGGAAAATGCATTTCAAACGGTTACTGCATTCGCGGT